ACGATTATTTTAAATGGTTTAACATAACAAGTTTTTTTTCACCATAATTATTTTTTAAAATTGAATTCTCTATTGAAATGAAAAATAAAAATTAAATTTCATTTAAATATCTTAAATTGGTGTAATAATCTATGTTTATGCAATGACGGTGTATTATGTTTTAATCGTAATAGATGAATTTAACTATTCAATTAACCTCTAAAAAAAAAATAATTAAAAACATTAATGTCGCCTCTAAAAAATCGGTGTTTCTAAACTTACTGAACAGTCTGTATGTCATTTAATTAATTAAGCTATTTAATAAACCTAAGAGATATTTAACATTTTTAATTATTTAAATTTTTATGTTAGTATGTATCAAATTATAATGTAACTTTTATAACCAGAAATCATTTGTCAAAATATTATTAGTATATGCAATAAATTATCAATAAAAATTTTGAGCTTTAAAAAGTATGAAACTAGGATAGTACTTAAGGATTTTAAAATGGACTTTAACAACCCATACTGTGAGGTGTTTGACAGATTTAGCAATTTAGAAAAACAATTTTAAGGATTATTTACCTTAGTGGTAAGTTAGAAAGGGACTGATGAGACTGCAGTCTCCTTAAAAATTCATACGATGAACAAATTATTTATTAAACGTAGTGCTTTTAAATGAATATTGAGAAAATAATATTATATAATAATAAAGCTTTTCTTCATTCCCTTGCTCTAGTAAAACATTTTGGCTACCTTAATGTGTTTTTTTCTTTGTTTGAACACATTATTATAATTATACAGAAAAACATTTTATTAAAATGCTATTTTCGAAAATATTAATATTTTAATTAATTTTATTCAAAAACACTTTTTTCAAGGTAGCTTTTATTTATAATTTTAGTGATTTTTAGACTGTCAACTTTTTTTTTTCAACTACGCAAAAAATGTTTCCAACTGCACAAATAATGATGACTTGAATATTAAATTATAGCCTGAAATATCACTAAAATAATTTTGGTTGATTATTTTTTTTTCATTATTTAAATTATTATGAGTAAAAATCAGTTATATATCGACAAATATTTAGTATCTCTTAACACATTTTGTAAATTGTATTTTTAAATTTGTATCAAATTTGATTATACCGTTTTATCAGTTTTATAAAGACTCGGCTTTTAAAAAATTTTTATTGATATTATCATAAATAAAAGTAATATATTTGCACAAGTTTTTCATTCTTATTATACATATTATTAAAAAAATAAAGCGATTTTTTAATTACACACTCATATATCTTTGATAATATAAAACAATATATTTTTTTCTTAGAAGTTAATAGTATCCTACGTTTTTAATTTGCTAAAAAAAATTTGGTCTTATCTCCCCTCTTTTCCCTTTAAAATTTTATAAAACTTAGTTTAAATATATGTTGAACCTACTTAAAAAATAGAAAATAATCTAAAAAACCCAGCACAGGGGGGTCGCGGCACAGTGGTGACGTGGCATAGTTGGATCAAGTATAATGATATCTGACAGTGATTAAAATCACTATCAAAAAAAAAACGCTTCGATGCAAATCTGTAGATAGTGTTTCATTTAGAGAAATTGGTGGATTATTCCAAAAACTACATGATCTACTAGTTCATTATTAATATCCTAATTAAGATAAAGTATGTCGAATGAAAAAGGGATTATTAAAAAATATTATTTCTTATAAAAAAATAATGTTGATCCATACACTTTTAAATATGTCATAGCATTATAAAGTTAAAAATGTAAAAAATAAAATCAAGAATTTTCACATAATAATAGCATTTGGTAGCCATTTTCACCATGAAGATAAAATAAAGTCCGAAATTTTTTTTTCGCATAATAAAGTAGATTACATTAACTTTAATTTAAGATATATATAAAAGTGTTAGTACTTCCGAAACACTTTCAAAAGTTAAGTTGAAAAAGTTGTCATTTTAAATCCCCCCCTGTGGGCAGGTAAAGGGTCAGATATAAAAAAAATATATACCAAATGATAGGTAAAGACATCATGCATCTATAAAAAAAAAATTATATTGATCCATACTACTCCTCATAAAAAAATTGTACTGATCTATACATTTTTCAAAAAGTTATAGCATAATAAAGTTAAAAATGTAAAATACAAANAATACTACTCCTCATAAAAAAATTGTACTGATCCATACATTTTTCAAAAAGTTATAGCATAATAAAGTTAAAAATGTAAAATACAAAATCGAAAATTTTCACACAAAAATAGCATTCGGTAGCCATTTTCACCGTGAAGATAAAATAAAGTCCGAAATTTTTTTTTTACATAATAAAGAACATTGCATTAGCTTCAATTTAAGATATATATAAAAGTGTTAGTATTTCCGAAACACTTTCAAAAGTTAAGTTGAAAAAGTTGTCATTTTAAATCCCCCCTTGTGGGCAGGTTAAGGGTTAAATTTATGAAAAAAATATACCAAATGAAAGGTAATGATATTATGCATCTATATAAAAAAGAATTATATTGATATGTTTATTTTTGAAAAAGTTATGGCACTTTTAAGTAAAAAAAATTGAAAAAATTTCGAAAATTAGCGATTTTTAAATTTGTAATTTTTTTGGTGAATTCCCCCATTTACGGGGAACGAGGGAATTTTTTTCAATTTTTGAGGGTAATGTTTTCGACTAGATACAATTTGTGATCTTTTGACGTATCATTGAAAGAAATCGGTTCGGTGAAAGCTGAGAAAAAGTGGTAACAGACACAAAAAAAAAAAAAACACATCTTAGTAAAACCAATACCTTCCAGCTTCGCATTGAAGCTAAAAATGAATGTTTCACAAGAACATTTGAATTAATATATTAAAAGATAATAGAATTTTTGTTACAAGGCGGAAGGAGCAGTACGGTTCATTAATACCTAAAAAAGCATCCGCTCTTCACCACCAATCTTATATTGAAGGTTATAATTATCTATGTATTCCAATAGTTGTTATCGATTAATTATTTATTTTCTTAGACATATCCAAGAATTGATCTATAGATCAATTTTTATTTTTGAAGTTAGTTTAATATATATGTTTCGATTTAAAGTTAATAAAGTCTTAAGGAGGGGTAGGAAGAAACATTTTTAAATTTTAGAATGTAGAATATTAACTTCCGAGAAGGAAAAAGTAATATTATATTTTACAGATATTGCACGAGTCTTAATTAATTGCCCCGTATACATTTAACTTTAAATGTAAAAAAAATTAATTTTTTTATTACTTGGAGAACAAATTTTATTTTAACTTCATAAGTGTAGCATAAATATATACATGAATAATGACCTTTAACAAATGAATTTTTGTATTATTAGATATAAATATAATAATTGTTCTTCTTAACTGATACAATAAGGTTGAGATTACCCATGCAAAATTCTCGGTTTAATAAATATAAAATATTCTAAAACATAAATTATCACAAAAATCTAGTTTTCGTTTATAGTTCTTCTATAATTTGATTCACTTTTTGTATAATTTGTCATTGTATTTGTTTAAAAAAATAGTTAAGTTAAAATAACGTCAGAGTCTATAGCATTTATGTTATCAATAGACATTATATCAACGCTTAAGTTAGGTAATGTACACTTAAGCACGTTTTATCTTGACGGTGGTTTCATCTAAATTAGTTGATCTAATTTAGACAAGAGTCCTGCTGCGAATGTACAAAACGTCTCGTTTCACCACTGCCGTTGTTTCGATTTTGTCACCAACTAAAAACAAGTAATGAAATTGATTTATTACTCATGAAAAAAGGGTGAGAGGGAGAAGAATACTATCGTTATATAATTGTTTTACTTTAATACTGTAATACACATATCGTTCGTAGATGTTTATAGCCAATCAATGAAAAAAAACTTATTAATTTATATGTGGCCATTGCTATAGATAACAAGTTTTCGATCGTCCCGTTTAGTTAAATGTTCAAGCCATCGTTTTCAATAAAATAAAAGATACATTTAATTTCACTTATCCTACTTAAAATTAAAAAAAATATGTTTTCTAGTTAATTAAAAGTAAATGGCAATGATACAATTAGATTTTGTTAAATGTCATCATTATAATCGCCATTGCCTCTATACCAACTTTTTGAGTTTTGCTCTGCCTTAACGATTTAACAGAAATTAACACCGGCGGTCGACTTGACGCAACCTAATTATAGCTGAGGGAATCAGTATGCGAGCAAGGTTTGTGTCACTGTTAAAGTACCCGTATGGTCACCCATCCGGAAACCAACAGCAAACAGCGCAGCTAAATATTGTAGTAATTCAAAATAAAAAGAAAAGGATTGATAAAATTTACTGATCTTTTGTTGTTCTTCTTTAAGCTCTTAAAAATTAATTGTAGTTAGATAGAAATAACATGAACACCGAAATAAGATTTGCAAGCGTACGGCAGTCGAGATTGTTTTTAACTCATTTTCAACAATATTGACTACATAGTTAAGTGACTAGCTAACTCCGCTACTATGTTCCATGCTGTTCTACGCTATTCTTCTCTATCCAGTAACCACTGCACTAATGTGTCGATGCTCTTAGAGCATTAGAGATTTATTTTGTAAGTAATAAGTGATCCACAGCACCCATTACTTATGTTACTTAAAAAAGTAATATTACATATTACTTTATTCTACTCTAAAAATCATATTTACGTAACAGACTTTTTTATATATTATAAAATATCGAAATAAACTATATGTTACATTTTATTTATGGACAAAGGTCTATTACATAAAATTCCCAGTTGAAATGGTTAATTTATACGGAATTTTACTATACACTTTTTATTGATACACTGAAAAAAAAAAATTAAACTGATCTAATATTGTTTTTTTTGTCTTTTTAAAATTAAGTGTGACTGTAAGTCTATTAAGGAAAGAGGAAGTTTGATAGATTAGACATCTGTTCACAAAAATACATTTATTTACTGTCTAGAATTTAACAGTACAAATACTATTCAAAAAATTAAATGTTTTATTTTTTTATTAATTTTTAAAACAGCTTATTACATGTAAAATATTTCATAACGTTTAAAAATAAAAAAAATCTTAAGAAGAAATTATTTATAATTATGTGTTTAACGATTTAAATTAAAAAAACTAATGTAGGGTGACAACACAAGTGAATGAACACTAGCAATGAACGAACAACACTGAGCTTTTAACTAAAAATATGTTTAATTTGATTATGATACATTAATGTCAGTATTTTTTTTATTAACAAAGAAAATATCTAAATTTATTCTTAAATCAATTTTAGAATTTTTGACATAATATCATTAGCTTTTCATTCATTGATAAATTACAATTTTTAATATAAAGTTATAAATATTATTACATAGCTATTATAAAAAGTTTTCTAGAGAAATAATATTTTTTAGGTCATTGAGTGTGATTCAAATATGAATTAATAAAAGTTAAGAACTATAAATTATTAAAAACTTTTAACTGTATATTTACTAGTATGTTACCCTTAACAATTAAATTGCGAGCTTCATGTATTCATGTTAAATTTTACCATCAATATCAATCAAAATATTTTTTACATTGTTATTACTTGAATCATAAGTTCTGAAAATAAAAACTGACAGTAAAAATTGCACTCAATCATATATAATCATTTTGATTTTTAATTATAAATTTTATTCTATTAAAACAATGATTAAATTACAATAGTGTAATAAGTCAAGTTTTTGCAATACTCATATTTATTAGAAACACATATTTTTTAATTCTTCCCTACTAAATCAATATGGACTTATTTTAAATTAATTATTTTAACTTTTGTATTTTTTTTTTTTTTTTTTTTGTAACTGTCATCACTCAATCTCAGTCAATACTGAACCATATTGGACAAATATACAAAAATATATAAAAAATTGTGATTTATTGAGACATAAGCCATAAATTTGGAGAAAAAAAGTTCTTTATAATACCTAGTTATATATTTTTTTTAAATAATTATATGATATAAATTTTAAAATATTAAAATAACAATATAAATTAATTAAAAGTAAGAAAAAAAAAATTTAATTATTTCGATTTAATTTTTCTATTAATTTTAGCTTCGATATAGAACTGAGAAGTTATTGGTTCTACCATTTTTGTTTTGGGTCTGTCATTAAAAATTATCAGCCCTCACTGGATTGACTTAACCGAGTTATTTGATTTTAAAATGCATTATTTTAACAAAAATTTTGATATGGTTGTAACAAGTGTAGATGATAGTGATGTTAATCACTATCATCTACACTTGTTACAATCATAAAGCATTCTACTTTGCTGGATTTTTTTTCAACCATAAATAAAATTAATCAAAAAATTGTCTATAATTACTTTTAAATTCGATACCCTTTTCATCAAGCCAATCAGAGCCAACTTCATTAATCATTTGACTTATTATATTATCGTCTGTAAAACCGCATTTTTTTATTGCTTCAAGTGCATCGGATTGATTGATATAACCGTCTACACACTTATCAGAATACTCATTCAGTATTTCCTGCCGTACTAACATAATTTCTGCCACAGAACTGATTAATCCATCAATATTAATTTCTATATCTCCTTAAAATTACATTGTTTCAGATTAAAACAAGTATTTATGTAAATACTACATTCATAATTTTTCAAGTTAAGGTTTAAAAGTTAAATATTATAATTAAATAATATTTTTATTTATCTAATTTTTCCCTGTGGATAGGGGATAAGAATACTTCCATGGCCCCTCTACCAGTCGCAAAAGACGACTAATGAGGTTGCGTCAGGTCGACAGTTGGCGTAAAAATCTTTGTCAAAAAACTATGAGGAATCCTGAACAAAACTTAGGCGGATTGTCCCAAGTCAGATGTACGTGGGGACAACAATAAGTAGTTAAAAACGGAGAAGGCCTAAGGAATAAAGTATTTGATACCAGCCGGACAACTTGTGCGGTACTAAAATAAAACTACATTCGACTGACGGCTATAGACGAGTTAAATTATAATAAGAGGCGGTTAAGAAATAAAACGATAAGATTCCTACGATAATAATTCTATAGTTACCAAAACACACAGATAAAACAATACAGATAAAATAAATGTGGTGAATATGACTTCGAATTGCCGAGAGTTGAACGGATGATACTTCGAATTGTCACGTGTTAGTGACTGTTTTTCCTAAAATTAAATTTCGAATTACCGAGTGTACTTAAATGCATGGTTTTTATTCGAATTAACGCGTGGTTTTCTAGGGACCGAACATTTACTTCGAATTATCGAAAGTTTCGAATTATCGAAGGTTTGAATTATCGAGAGTCGACTGTAGCTGTTTCACCAGTCATGTGTACAGGTCTATTAAACGCTTGTAGTGTCAACAGTGTAGGGACATTACCACTGAACTCTAGGCAGGACTCGTGTATAAGAGAGATAGATAGATAAAAAATAAGAATAGGTATTTGGAATGTTAGAACATTAACTGGTAGAAGTGGAGAATTAGTAGAAGTATTGAAAAAGAGAAAAGTTAACATTTGTTGTGTGCAAGAAACTAAATGGAGAGGAGAGAAATCGAGGGAAATAGGTGAGAGTTATAAAATAATATACTCATATAAATTTAGTATAAAGAATGGTGTAGGGATAATAATGAATGAGGAGATGAAAAGTAAAGTAGTAGAAGTACCTAGGAAAAGTGACAGAATTATGGTCGTAAAATTGATATTCAAAGAAATAGTGCTGAATGTAATAAGTGCCTATGCACCACAAGTGGGATGTGGGTACTCTCGAGTGATGATGATGTGAAAAAAAGGTAGGAAGAGTATTTTAAAAAATTACTGAATGAGAAGTACCCAAAAGAGACTATTAGAGGATATCTCGTGGAATGAGGCACTGGTAAATTTAATTAGTGAGAAAGAGGTATTGTAGTGTCAATCTTGGATAAGATGAGAGAAAATAGACTTAGATGGTTTTGGTCATGTTACGATGAGAGAAGAATCGGAAGCTGAAGGAAGAAGAGGTAGAGGAAGACAAAAAAAGAGATGGAGGGATGCTATTGAATGCGACAGAGGACAGCTGATATAAGCGTAGATGATGTGGGAGATCGTGACAAGTGAAAGTTTAGAATAAAGGTGGTCAACCCCAAGTAGTTGGGATTAAGGCAAGGAAGAAGAAGAGAAAGATTTATCTAATTTATAAGCTAGTTAATTATCAATGCTACCATTTGAAAAAACAAAATATAAGGAATGAATATTCCTTATACTTATATACTTATAAAAAAATATTTCACAATTGATAATATAATAAAAAGGTGTCTAAAAACCAAAAAAAAAAATTGCATTTATTATTTTTTATTTCATTAAAAATTTGCTGGTTCATTAAATGTTGATGAATGATATAAAACATTGAAAAATTAGTCGATATTGAAAAAAGTACTTAACAGTGTCCGATTTTCAAAAAAAAAATGTTTTATATAAAATATCTCAACAATTATATTTTAGAAAAACTACTCGCGAAAATGAGAATAATTTGTTTAGCATACTGTGTGCGTTTAAAAATGTTATTAAAAACACTCCTTGTCGCCAGTTTTTTCATTTTAAAAATTGAAAAATTTACCAGGCTAAAAATTTACTGTCCAGAGAAATTTTAAAGGTACCCTGAAAATTTCATTAAAATCCGTTAGTTCATTGTTTTTAGAAAGATATGATTTTGCTTTGCGCATGTCAAATTTGTTTAAATTTTATGTTATTTTAAGTAGTTTTCATTAATAACACGGTATTTAAAGATTGTTTTTAAGGATTATAAAGTTTTCTTTCGCTTGTTGTTTTGAATAACAATCAGTAGTTATTATGAAGTATAATTTTGAATACAACTAAGTATTTTGTAGTCATATTATTACTTTAATAATTACTATTTTATTTTACAAATGGACTAATATTTCTGGTAAACTCTTTCTTGTTGTACTTGCACAACACATATTGCTACCGTCTTAGCCAGGTATTTTTTCCGGAATGAGTGGCCTACCTGTTAGGACAGCCCGAAAGGCACCGGGTCTAGGGCGGAGCCTCAACAATGCAAATCCTAGTACGTAATAATAAAAATAACAACACACACCTCACCTCCATTTTATTTTTAAATTTGATATAAATTTTAAAATAATAGGTCAAAATTTGTTATTGACCAATAATTTTCCCAACTTAATCAATTTTCCCCTATTTCAATATTATAACCAATTCATTTGTATAATTTAATTTATTTTTAATTCCCAACGTTATTAAACGAGAAAATCTGAAAAAGTCCACAGATTATATTATTTTTATATTTTCATGAAATTATGAAACGATCTGTTACTAATAATATTAAGTAAAATTGTAAAGCACAACCGTCAATATAATAAATAAAATATTTTTAGTGTTAACTATGTTAGAAATTCGCATTATCACGCCAAATTAATTTTATCAACATACTAACTAACATAAATATATCGGTTAACTTAACCAGCACATTTTCTTTAAATAAGATTAATTTGATAATTAAAAACCGAATATTCAATGAATAATTTTATACTAAGAATAAATGGTGTTATTTGTCCAATAAAGGACACTTTAAAACTGAGCCTAAATGTAAAATAATAATAATTAACTATATAGACTTAAGGTAACACGCCGTATGTCACTTTATCCAATTACCTGTTGCATGTTACATAGTGAACTGAATATTTTAGGATGAGAACATCTGTCCATCCCAATACAAGAACCCTAAAGAAAAATTGATTTCTACTTAAGTAAGACAAGGGAGGTGAGATGTAAAGGTAACACTAATAATAAAATTAACTAAACAAACTACTAAATTAGTTAAATTTAACTGTAGTTATCACAAATTATAATATATAAAATAAACAATAAATTAATATATAAAAATTAGTAACTATGAATTTTAATTTACTAATACATAAAATAAATTTAGATGTTCAATGATACACTCTGTGTAATATTACCTTGCCATCTCAGCACATTAGATCAAGCAATAAATATGTACAATATATAACTCTAAAATCAATAATATAACATGCAACAACTATTAACACTCAATGATAACCGATACTTACTAAAAACAATAATAAATATAAGAAAATTCAATAATGCTTATATAAACTATTAATATCTACTTAAAAAGTAAAAGGCGGCATTTGTAACTGTATCTTTATTTTAAGGGTAAAATCATTAGTCTAGAAATGACTAAATTGTCATTAACTAGAAAAAAATAAAATCGAGACTGCTTGTCTTTGTAATTATCATTTAAAATAAATAACTCAATTAAACTAGATAATATAAATTCAACTCATAGTTTTACCAGTGAATAAAAACATTTCGCCAACTGCCCTCCATGCCTAAAAAATCTTAAATATAGACAATACAATGATATATATTACACCTCATCTTTTAATTATCTTATAAATTGTCAACTGAGAGTCTTATTATTAAACAATAATAATCGATTGAACGTCGTACCTTAACAACTAACTACACAATTTTTTCTTAATTAAAATAATTTCATACACCATATATGATTTGCCGGCTACACATGTACAATACAATTTTTAAAAACACAACTTAAAAAAAGCTCAACTTAACTAATATCTACAATATAGAGAGATCTAAGAGGAAAAACGCAACAGGTCATGATAATGGGCAGTGGTGTGCCATTTTAGCCATTAAATATTTCCTAATTATCAATGACAGGCGTTATCAATTTGACCTTAATATTAACTAAGAATATTTTGAAATCTATAAAAATCTCCTAAGTTCTTTTAAAATGTTACTTAAGTATTATAATGTACTAAATTATTTCTTTAATTTTACATCCTATCAAAAAATTATTATATCATAAAATAAAATTACCATTTGCTCCAATTTCATCTAAAATATTTTCATATTTCGTAGAATCTCCTTTTGATAAATATTTAGAAAAAGTTTTAATGCTCATTTGACCAGCATTGCTTGCAAGCCACAACTTATTTTTAGTAGCTTCTATAGCTGTCTTCGTTAATGAATCTGGATGCTATTTTATTAAATTAAATTTTTATTAAATCAAGTTCACAATTTTTAAACAATCCATTAACTTTTGTTTTTGTTCTATAATTTCAAATATAATTATTAAACATAGAAAATTACCACATATGAGCTAGTGGCTTCGTCGTCTAATGGTTTGGCTTGTATATGCATTAAGTAATGAATAATAACAATTAAAATATAAAAATACATTTTCATTTTGCTTGAAAAATGTTTGATTTGATACAGTAAAAAATGAAATAAAAATCACTTAAGTTTCAAATAATTTAATAAATCGTATGTATATAAAAAGTATATATATATATATATAATACAAAAAGTAAATATGTAAAAACAAATATATTTAGAATAAATTATACATTTTTTAGCTATGATGTAATTTTTAACAGTGAGAAGGAGGTTAGAAAAATCAGACGATTTGATTTGTAAAGATACACTGTATTCCTATAACTTAGCCTGGCGTACTGCTATGAGTTAAGATTTATAGAATTAATATTTAAGATTTAAGTTAATAATTTACAATTAAAACTATAACTTTACTAGTAAAAAATGGAATTAAAAATAATAGTGTTATACAGTGTAGACCACGATGTTTTGACAAATCTATTAACTTTCGATTTAATAAATATTTTGCATTGCTTTTTTAAAAAATATTAAAATTTTGGACTACATTAAAAGAATATTATTTATTATTTATCTCTAATAAGGGATATTGAAAAAATTGTTTTATTTTTTAATATTTATTCTTTACCAAATAAAAAACTTTAGAAAAGTATGGATGTAAACCCTGTGCGCAATTACATTATCCGAATTTTTTTTTAATTTCGACTTATCACTTTCAAAATAATGCGCAAATATTTTAAAAATATTTGAATTGTGAAAAATATTATTTTTATTTTTATTTTATTCTTAAGGAATTTAAGTTTAATTGAAAAAATTAATCTTTTGGTTAATTTTTAAAACATTTTTCGGTTTTCCTAAGTACGCTATGTTTACCTCAAATTAAGTTATAAATCAACTTTATATAATTTATTATATCTCATGTACAGATCAACATTTAGAAAAAATTTTAAGGGTTAGAATAAATTTAGTATACTAAATTTAAACGTTTTTAATTGATTGTGAATGAAATTAAATTATGTTTTAATAATTTATTTTAAATACAGACAATTTGTCTTAATGTTGAAAATTTGTTCTAGTTCATATCTCGATTAATAAAAAATATAGTTGTATTATATGGTGTTCAATAAGTAAGGAGGGGGTTTCTATGATCTCATTGTTTGTAACAATTAACATTTTTTCTTATTTACTTAACACTCTGCATGATTATCATATAGTCTTACATATTGCTATTAATATGTAAGAAACACATTTCTAGTATAGTGACACATATTCTAATAATTAGAGGCTTTTCGATTTTTAAATATAACAATATTTTCCTAAAAATTATAAAAACTGACTAAAATAAAAGGGGTAGAGATTTTAGGGCAAAACTCAGATACACGATAGAATCATTTGTGTATTTATATATATATATATTATAAATTATTAAGTAAATAATACTCTGTGGTATAATTTCTGATCTTTTATCGTCCTTGAGCTTTATAAATTAATTACCACTAATATTTTTTATTAGTTAAGTAAATATGCATTTCAGATTTTCTTTTTTTAAATGTAAATTAAATTTTTAATGTAATAGAACTAGATTTATTATATTGTTTATGTGTTACGGTAAACTTGAATCAACACTTTGTACGTGACTCTAGTGTTTTGTATGAAGTCAAAACCGTTTTGATATTAGTAACAGAAAACAATTTTTTATTGTTTTATAATTATTTATTATTTTACACATAAATATAAAATTAAATGTGTAAATGAATGCCAGTAGTAAAAAAAACTTAGTATTTCTTGTATAATCATTTAAAAGTATTAATACATTTGCGAAAACTGAAATTAATCACAACATTAATGATAAAATTAATAAAAAAAATAATATTTTTCATTTGCAATTAAAATTAATATTCAGTTAATTGTACTTGTTGAAATTACTAAAAGCTACAAAAAAAAATACTTAAATATTGTGAAGTAATTAATACTTAAGACTAGTGATGGGAAATATTGAATAGTAACTATCGAACTATTCGATAGTCATTAAAAAACTATTCGAATATTAAAAATATTCGATAGTTCACAATATATTCGAATAGTTTTTAAAATATTTGATAGTTTGTGCTAAAAATAAAATATTCGGCGGTATAAAAACAGTTCGAATAATTAATCAATAGTTTAAAATATTTGAAAATGCTCATCACTAATTTTTTTTATTATTAATTGTATCCTATTTATAATCTTAGTACCCTGAATAAACAGTTTTAAAACAATCCTATTTAGATCGTTAATGTTATTAAAACAGCAAAACTATAAATACAAAAGAGCAGGTAATACTAGACTAAGAACAGTATACAAGGTATTAAGTGTAAAATAAGACTTTAGTATTTACGAATACTTCTGTTGCGCATAGAACAAATCTTTCCGATAAAACTGAAAATATATCATTAGACATCGGAAAAAAGAACTGCTTTTTAATTTTCAACCCATATTTATCAGTTTTTACCAACGACTCACAAACTAAAAATAAATAAAATGGTACTTTTTACTGTTATTAATTGTATAATAATTTATTTTAAGTATTCGTTAATTATATTCTTATTATAATTAATCGTACTTAATAAAAATTTTAATTAGAACTAATCGAATATTTTTTGAAACCATTCGCTAGCCCATTCGAATATATTTTAAAACTATTCGATAGTTTATGCTAAAAACACACTATTCGATTGTGCAAAAACAATTCGAATAGTTATTCGATAGTTAAAAATATTCGAAAATGCCCATCACTACTTAAGACTAATATTCATTTGGATTTCTAATAGGATGTGACACAAAGAATGCTAATTTTGAAATGTGAATTTGAGTTGTATGTACGCTATGAACAAAATAAACAAATTAAAATTTATTAATTAAAGCTTTGGTAAATTATTAAGGTTTTTTATTAAAAGAATATAATATAAACAATCATAGAAGAATTTTTTAAACTTGTTTACCATAAATATAAGGATTGACTGATTTCCAGTTATTAACTTGTCGCTTATAAAAAATATAAGTCAACCCTTTTTAGCCAATAGTAAAAACATGCCACACAGATAAGAAGGTTCCTTCATATATTCATGTTTTTTTATAATATATTTGATTTGAGATTTTATATTGGTAGTGTTATCTGCTATTTGTCTTTTGAATAATAAAATTTAAAACGTTATATTTATCGATCACACTATATAATATCTAAAATCATTTAGTTAATGGTGTACGATTAATCAACGACGAATCAATTTTTGCATGACCTACGCCCGTTAGGAATCCATTTTTTTTAAAATAATAATTTTTTTGAGCTCTATTAGTCACTTATGTATATCTATTTATCACTTTTTTAATTCATCCCATATATCTTGTGAGGGTAACAACTTTATTTTGTTTAGCTGCAACATACATATTTCTCTAGCTTATATAGTTAAAAATTATTTAATTCAGTTATTATCAGCAAGTTACTTTTAATAACATGTTCCCATTAAAAAAATAGGTATTCATATGTAATTAATCTAAAAAAAATGATTTTTTTAAGAGAAATCTAGTATCTAGTGTTAATAGAATCACTCTGTATATACATACATTTTAACCATTTGTTGAATTTTTTTTTAATAAAATTCAACATTTCTGAACATTTTAAAGTAAATAAATCATTATTATAACAAAATTAACATTCTTTGAATGTATTGTATCGTTTATTTGCCTTGTATTTCTTAAAGTATTTGTTGTGTACCTACAAACTATACTTTTCATGTATTACACACATTTTAAAGTAAAGGAAGTTTTGAATTCTTTGAATATTAAGACCAAACTATGACGTTGAACTTCAAGTATTTTGTTTGAAGTACAAACAACACAGTATTAATATGTTTAGTGTAAACAATGCCTTAACTAATACAAAAGTTAAATTCCAGGCATGTCTCAATTTGCAAAAAAAAGACGATTAGTTGATGTCCACTACTCACTTTATTTTATAAGCACGATAATTTTTTTCTGTCCTGCTTTTAATCAAATTTAAATTGCCCATATATGTAACACAATATTGAATAGAATAATACATAGACTATTGTGTACAGGATAATGTTTGTTTTTTATGTAAAAGTCCTCCAAAAGAAACTTTAGAAAACTATAATTTTCTGAAGTTTCTTTTAGAGGATTTTTCTTTAAAACTCAAATTATAACTGTAAAATAAATTTTATTTTAAAAAAATATTTGGAATTACACAAAAAATTTTAATTATATTTTACCATACAAAAATTAAAAAAAATTGTTTATGAAATATTGTTTCATTCATTTTGTTTATTTTATTTTACTTATTAAAAAAATACATTAAAAAAAATTAATTCGTTCCTTTAAATTACTTTCTAGTACATTTTAAAATTTTTTACAACAAAAATTTGTTAATCACTACTGTTGGTACAATAACTGTACTAAATTTATTGTCTAATATCTTTTAACTATATAAAGATGATTTTTAATTTTATCATTGATCAGAAAAGATATAATAGTCAGAATTATTTAGATTGACGATTTATAGTGACGGTTTGAAGTATAATCGTATGAAATGAAATGTAGCAAGTATCATAAACGTTTGCGATTTGAAAATTCAACCTGAATCAAATATCAAAAGTTAGGTTATCATTTAACTTTGAAATTACGATAAAGCTGTACACGAGAAGTATTCCGTAAAGATGTTTACTAGAGATATATTGTTAATCCTAATTTGTAAGAACTTTATTGTTTTGTTGATATAAATATAAGCTAAATAAGTAGCTAAGTAAAGCTAAAAATAGATAGAAAAGCATATTGTATAGAAAAATAAAAATTTGCATCTATAAATTTCAACTAATTTATAAGAAACTTAGATTTCATTGAAAACATAAAAACTAATAATTGGTCTTTATTTTTAATTCTTGGAAGAAATTATTGCAGTTTATACTAGCTATGCATGTGTTTATTTGTTTTTTTATACTTGTTAAAAACCATAAATAAACTTTAGAAGAAAACTTATTCTTGCGGTTGGGTTCACACCACATATAAATACAGTAACATAAAATAAAACGAAATACCTATTGCGTTGGTAGTGTTTGGCCTCACTGGGGTGGTCGTCGTTGTTGCTGCCATAGCCATTGC